AGAGTTGACCCAAGACAAAGCTCAGATAATACATCAAAAAGGTGAATCCGACTGACCCAAATTTTTTTAAAAAAAAATAATCAAAGCAACCTTGTTTTATCAAATTTTTTCCAAGAAAAAAATAATGGGTTTTTGACTTGTGTTTTTTTAGGTTGACCTAATTTTTTTATCGAACCAAGTCGAGTTAATTTTTTCATTATTTTTTCTTCAACACAAACTAATTCAAGTTCCGAATCAATTGTCAAGTTAGTTCTAGTTTTATAACTAGGATTATTATAATATTATTAATTTTCAAACTCAATATAAACTAAAAAAAATATCTAATTATTTTTAAAAATATGTAAATTTAAAGCAATATATATTAAGGGTAAAATAGATTTGTTTATGTTTTATTTGTCTTGTCCACCATAATTAAATATGATACGGAAACAAACATTTTGTCTTGTATATCATTACCAAATATAATTTTATCTTTATCTATTTTTTTGTTGTCTCTATTGTCTGTCTCTTTTATGTGTCATGTGACAGTAACTAAACAATACCTAAATGTATTTAATGTGATATTTATTTGAAATTTTTTTTGATAAAAATAAATAATGACTAACATGAATTAAAAAAATCCTAAAACGGGTGGCGAATTCACTATTTTCCTATGCACATTTCACTATAAACTAATGAATTTCCCACTTTATTTTTTTGTTAAAAAAATCTTGTTGGTTAGAGGTTAAGAGCATGATGATTTTTTTAATAGAGATATTTTGGTATTTTTAAATTGATTGAGGGCAGGATAGGTATTTATTTTAAAATTGCATAAGAAATTGTCATAAATATCATTTTGTTGAAGGACATTGAAAGATAGATATGTATTTTTACTTTTATAATGCATAGAAAAACAATCAATTTAACTTTATATATAAAAATATTTTGGTTAGCTAAGAGGGGTGTTTTTGCTATCCCCTTTACTTGCATGGTAAAAATACCTTCTTACCCTTAGGTTTTAATTTTTATACCTTGAACATGAGGATATTTCAGTTATTGTACTATTGTTTTTTTTTTTTTAATTTGTTAGATAAAGTGAAGGTTAATTTATCTTTTAATAAATTAAAGGGATTTTTAAAAAATACACTGGCATGTACTAGGAACACGTCAGTTGCTTTGCCTTCTTTGGATGACATAAGCAACTCATTTTGACAACAAAAATGTTACTATTGAGTATTGTTAGATTAATCTCGGTCTTTTTCTTATAGAAGTAACACATGTAGAAAATAGAGTTTTGGTTTGATTTCGATGACAATTTCTTTTTTTCTCTTCTTTTTTCCCTCTCTCCCTAGATTCTTAAGCCCTGCATTCTATTTTCCAAATCAACCCCTTAGCTTCTTTTTGTTTTTGATTTTGTCCCTAATTTTTTAGTTGATAATTATTTTATTTCAAATAACCTATGAAAATCAAAATTTGTTTCAATTTGATAGTCATTTGACATTTTTTACTCCCTTTTGTTTTTGATTTAGTCTCTGGTTTTTTGGTTGATATTTCTTTTATTTGGTGTAACTTATGAAAATTAATTTTTTAATTTGATCCTCATTTAATTTTTTAAATTTATCTTATTTAGTTCATGTTCTTTTATTTGCTATTAATATCATCTAAAATAATTTTTATAGTATAATTTATTTAATGATTTTACCCTTGATTATTTTTTTCCTAACAAATTTTATTCTTTTTTTATTGGTTTTTTGCTTTGCTAATTTTTTTTAATTTTGTATTGTTTCACACTTAATTTCATTTTTTAATATTAAGTTGATTTAGATTTGAGTTTTGTTGATTAATCTAATTTTTGAATTTGATGGATTCCATTTTAGAAAATTAATTTAGCTCGAGGATATTTGGTAGAGGTTACTTTTTCTTTTTATTCTTCTTTTAAGCTAATGTTGTTTTTTTCTTAGATTTTATCCTTCAATATTTAGTTTATTGAAGATTAAGCTCTTTGCTTTTTTTATATTTTCTTTCTACATCATTTGTTTTTTTATTTGACTAGGTTATTTGGGTTTTTTTATATTTTTGTTTTTTGTTAAATTTATTTTCTCAATTTTTTTTTCTTAAATTAAATAGAACTACTCAATTGAATATAGACGAATTCTTATTTCATCATGTTTTGTTCAATTTGTTTTTACAGGATATTATTCTAGTAAATTATAATTTTTTTTTAAATATTGTTATGTATGTTTTTTGTAGTTAAGTTTTAACAACTCAATAAGATTTTTTAGTCATAGGTGCTATCAATAATTGAGTAACAATAAGTTTTCAATGATATTTTTTTTATAATTATGATATCAGTATCTCTTTTTTTTTTCTTTTTTTTTTTAATTTTAATTTTTATTATTACTATCTATATAAATTATATTATTAAATTAGTCAATCTTATTAAATATAATCAAATTAATAATGACAACGGCCAACAACCAACGCCAATTAACAGAGTTTCATGTGTGATGCATTTTTAGTTGTCTTCAAAAGGACAAAGATGTGACTATAATAATTTGCCCCTTTTTGTCTGATAGCCTTCTGCACCAAGAAAAAACTCCAAAAAATGACAAACAAAACGCAATAATTTCTTGTCGGCAACTAAAAAAAAAAAAGCAACTTGTTATTATAATCTTGCACCCCCGCTAACCAATGAAGTTTTGCAATTCTGTAATAATATTTGTTTTTGTATTTTAAAATTATTTTTATATTATTTTTATATGTTAATGTTAAAAATAAATTTTAAAAAATATTATTTTAATATATTTATAAATAAAAAATATTTTAAAACATAATCACTGTCGTAATACATACTCTAAAACTTGATGCCTGTGTTTTCGTCCAAGCAGGGAATGGAATTATGAGTCATGGCGCATTATTTATTTATCTTTTGACTGAAACTGTGTTTGTCTTCTAATTTCAAACTCAATGCATTCAAATCTTTGCTCGGCAGATATAAATAATGATATATTTTTTTTAATTTTTTAAAAAAGAAATTCTACTCTTTAATAGGATGAAGATCTTGTTTGAGAAAGCAATTAAAACCATGTTTTTTATAAAATTAATTTTTATTTTTGTTTAATATTAGTGTTTTATGTTTATTTTATTTTTGTTTAATATTAGTGTTTTATATTTATGAATCGTTTTAATATATTAATATCAAAAATTAGTTTTAAAAAATATATTAACTAGTAAAAATAACTGCAGGAACTCCCAAGCTCCCTCCAAACATAAACAATTCCGTGTTTATTGTTCGTTTAGCTAGGCTGCTTGGTTGCCTCATTCCTCTCATACTAATTGCCCTTTTATTATCATGTGCCATGTGAAACTGCTAACAGGAGCAGTTATGTCAACGTTAGTTTATTGCTGAAAGGGAAAAAAAATAATCTATAAATGACAAGAGGGAAAGCAACCTCAACATCATTTTATGAAGGCCGGCGTGGTGCCTGAGATTCAATTAATATCCTGCAATGATTGGTTGAATTTCTGATCTACTGTGCCCATAAGCCAATGATCAGCAACCCCACCTTCGAACACGTGTACTCTTACACCAGGACCTCTCAAGAACAGCTTCAAGGAAAAGACAGCAAAGGTAACAGATTACCCAGTCATTTGATCGAAATAAAATTACCATTACCGAATTTTATGACTATCGTGCCGTGCAAATCTCGAAAAATTACTAGCAAATCTCGAATGTAAATACCTGAATTCTTCCGAACGACAGGACATCGTTCCTCGGAGTGCTTTGCATAGCTTCTAAACTAATATTATCTTTTAAGTAGAGAGTTAATTATTTTTTGCTTTTATCGGAATCCTTTGTTCAACCTTGAGCTAAATAACGAAAATAACTTGTTTTCGTTGCATGATAATAATTTTTTAAATTCAAATCATTGAAACTCGAACTTACTTAATCGATTAAAGCTATTTAATCGAACTTATATCATTAAACACACAAACACTAGGTTATGTTTGCTTGTAACCTTGAGTTAATAAAAAACCCAACAATTTTGCTAAATCTATGTAAATGATATGTATTATACAAGTTAGTTTTTAAGATTATAAATTGTTGATTTCATCACCCTTAATACAAACAATTACAGTTACAAAAAATAAATAAATTCCGAATCATAACAAAACACATCACTTACTTAACCAAGTTAATAAAAATTTAAGTATGTATTTAATGTTGTGGTGCATAGTATTTTTTAAGAGTCTATTTTATTTGAAACTATATTAAAATATTTTTAGTTTTTATGATTTATTTTTTATGTAAGGATATTAAAATCATAAAAAATAAAAAAAATCAAACTAAATATATTTAAACACAATTTTAAATATAAAAATAAATGAAATAATATACCTCAATTCATATGTTTCAATTATTATTATTATTTTCTTGAATATGGTAATTATTTCACAGAAATAGTTAGATAATAGTGTGTTATTTAAAAGAAAACGGATATTTCGATAACATCTCTCCTCACAAAATTCAAATCGAAACCTGTGAACCTCCATGATCAAGAGATTAGTGAAAACGGGTGATTGGTTAATTAAGGTTTCTTTAATGTCGAACACAAAAATAATCGCAAGAAAGTAGACAGGTCGAGGAACCCAAGAAAGAACATTACTGTAATCTCAAGAGAGGGCAGCTTAGTCATTATAGTTTTCTTTTCTTTTTCAAGGTACTTTCTCCATCTGAAAATCTATAAAAAAGGTAACGACAAAAGACAGCAAAAACTGCTGAATATGACCGTTCAACAGTATCCTCAATTAAATCAAATCTTAACCACAAATTAACAAAGATAATCCCACCCTTAATTCTCGCATGAAATAGGTATACCTATCTCCTTAAACTACACTTAGGTTTGAGTATGACATGAAATCTTTTCTCATGTAAATATAAAAAAATAAAGACAAAAAGGTTTTTACCTCGCTCACTTCACTTCACCCCACCTGCTGTTTTATTCTCTGTTTACCTTCTCTCTTAACAGTTTTTGACTTTGTGAGCTTATCAATCTAAAAGAATGTAATGCTGAAGTCTCTTTTCAGAGAGAGATAGAGAGAGAGTGCTTGTGAGTTTGATGGAGAAAATGGGGTGAACTAGGAAGATATGCAGCTGGGGGGGTTAGTATCACGGTGCTGCTGATCACAGCCGCGTTATTTTACTGGTTTCATTCGTTTGGTATGTTCTTGATCTGTGATGTTCATAAAGGATCATTGTTTCCAATTTATGCAGGTTCCCACTTGCTTCAAGTTTGCATTTTTTGTGTTCTTTTAGATGGTAGTTGGTGGTTTTCTGGTTGCTTATCAAATCCCGTCATCAGATTTTATCACTGAACATAAAGTATCGTTTCTGTGTTTGTGTCAAAGTAGTTTTGCTTTCTTTTGCCAAGTTCCAAGTCTCATAGGTATCTTTCGAGTTCAAGTTGAGATCAGTATAGTTCAAGATTGTGCTTTTCTTTTCCTTTCAATGGTAGATCGAGTTTCTTGAACTCCTCCTGGGTTTGGGATCACTGTTGGCTGCTCAGTTGTGCGTTACTTCTTGTAGAGTTATTTACGTTAGGACTAATGTTGGGCCAGTATTGGTCAACTATTTGTAATGCTGCATAGTACTGCTACTTGCATCCTGAATTTGGGGAATCAAACAATGCAATCATGAAATTTTGAGTATTTGACTCCTTGCTTTCTCCTGTTTGATTTTATTTTCATTCATTCGAACTGCTTGGCTCTATCCTGCGTGGATGTCTTTGCAGACTATGAATTTGTAAGATCTGATTTTACTTTTATTTCAATTCATAGATTTGAAGGTTATTGAAGTGAGGAGTTCCATTTCCAACACAAACAGTGGACTTGGTCAAGAAGATCCATTTGCACAAACAACAAACAGGTAGTCTGCATATGAACTGTTTATAAATTTTTAGAACACATAATGAAATATTAAATTCTTTTGTAACTCAATGATCTTGGTCTGTTTAGGTATAAGTGACATATGAAGTGAAGATCTTGAAGGGTCCTTTGGAACAATATTTAGTAGCTAGAATAACTTAAATTATTATTCTGGCCTGGATCCACTACTTGGGTTTTTATTGCCGGTACAAGGACCAGGCTTTTGCAAAGTCCAAGCCAGTTGCTTTATTGTTCTTGGCTGGAGTCATGGCAACATTATTACATTCTGAGTCCAGACGATTATATTCTTGGTGGTGGGACAGCCACATTAGCCCAAAGAATTCGAAATGGCTTCAAGAAAATCTCACAGGTCTTCTTTCTCTTCTTGGATCTTTTCAAATATTATGAACTCTATTTGCTTAATATATATGCTTGATGCATAGGAAGTTATACTTGGATGCTCTTTTCTCTGCTTCTTATTGTAGATATTATGTCAACGAAAACTTTTTTCTGATTCTAGAAAAAAAAGAATCCAATTATCATAAATCTCATTTATGGGCAGATTGTAATTGCTTTCTTCCTTGTTAGTTAAAAGCCTTGTCATCTACTGAATGCATGTCTGGTTTGAATCTTGACAAATGCATAGCCTCATATTCTAAGTGCCATAATTTATATAAGGTTATGCGGCCTCAATAACAATAAACCAAGCTGCTGCATAACATATATCTATTGATGTGATTTATGGCCCGCATTCTCAATGAGCACGGATTTTTTTCAACAGATATGGATGCCAAAGTCAAAGCAATGATCAAGGTCATTGAAGAAGATGCCGATTCTTTTGCAAGGAGGGCAGAAATGTACTATAAGAAGCGTCCTGAACTGATGAAACTGGTGGAGGAATTCTACAGAGCTTACCGTGCATTAGCAGAGAGATATGATCATGCAACAGTGGAGCTCCGCCAGGCTCATCGAACAATGTCAGAAGCATTTCCCAACCAAGTACCGTATGTACTGGGAGATGATTCACCTTCAGGATCTTCTGGCCCCGAGGGTGAGCCGCATTCTCTAGAAATGCCACATCCCATTCGTGCATTTCTTGACCCAGATGACTTGCGTATGGATTCATTGGGACTCTCTATTAACAAAACAGGTTTAAAGCAGCTCAATGAGTTGTTTGGCTCACGAGATGCAATATCCCAAGTTTCAAAAGTTGCAGATGGAAAATTGAAAAAATGCCTGAAGATTCATGAAGTAGCAGAGGTTAACACCGGAAAGCAAGCTGAAACTGAATTTCAAATCATAAAGAAAGCTCTTTCAGAGATTCAAACTGAGAAGGAAGCTGTTCTTCTTCAATACCAGCAGAGCTTGCAGAAGTTATCCAGCTTGGAGAGAGAACTAAATGATTTCAGAGGGATTGATGAAAGAGCAGGCAAAGCAGAAATTGAAATTAAGATCCTGAAGGAAGCCCTTGTTAAATTAGAAGCTGAGAGGGATGCTGGTCTTCTTCAGTACAACAAATGCTTGGAAAGAATATCTGCTTTAGAGAATGTGATCTCTAAAATGGAAGAGGACGCAAAAGGTCTCAATGAACGAGCTATTAAAGCTGAAATAGAAGCTCAAAATCTCAAGGAAGAACTTTCAGGATTAGAGGCTGAAAAGGAAGCTAGTCTTCTTCAGTACAACCAATGTCTTGAACTGATATCCAATTTGCAGAAGAAAATCTTGATTGCAGAGGAAAATGCTAGAATGCTCAATGCATTAACCGAAACAGCAGAAACTGAAGCTAAAGCATTGAAGGAGGCCCTCGCTAAATTGAGCGAAGAGAAAGAAGCTGCAGAACTTCAGTATGAGCTGTGTTTGGAGAAAATAGCTATAATGGAGAGTGAAATTTCTCATGCTCAGGAGGACGTCAATCGACTAAACAGTGAAATTCTGTCAGGGACTGCGAAATTGAAAACCGCAGAAGAACAGTGTTTCCTGTTACAGAGATCAAATCAATCTCTGCAGTCAGAGGCAGATACTCTAGTACAGAAGATAGAAACTAAGGATCAAGAACTGTCAGAGAAGGTAAATGAGTTGGAGAAGCTTCAGGCTTCGCTGCAAGATGAGCAGTCACAGTTTCTTCAAGTTGAAGCCACTTTGCACTCATTGCAGAAATTGCACTCTCAATCTCAAGAGGAGCAGAGAGCTTTGGCAATTGAGCTTCAGAATCACTTCCAAATGTTGAAGGATTTAGAGATATCCAACCATGATCTGCAGGAGAACCTTCAACAGGTTAAGGAAGAGAACCAGAACCTCCATGAATTGAACAGTAATTTCGTTATTTCAATAACAGATTTGAAAAATGAAATTTTTAGCCTGAAGGAAATGAAAGAGAAACTTGAAGAGGATGTTTCCCTACAAGCTGCACAGAGCAATTCCCTACAGCAAGAGATTTTCCATTTGAAGGAGGAAATTGAGGGCTTGAGTACAAGATATTGGGTTTTCATGGAGCAAGTGGACGCGGTAGGTTTAAATCCAGAGTGCCTTGGTTCATCTGTGAAGAACTTGCAAGATGAAAACTTGAAACTAAAAGAGGTCTGCAAAAAGGACACAGAAGAAAAGGAAGTTCTCCATGAAAAGTTGAGCACAATGAATAACATTAAGGAGAACAATGTGGCACTGGAGAGGTCCCTCTCAGATTTGAATCGCATGCTGGAAGGGTCAAGAGAGAAGGTTAAAGAGTTGCAGGAGTCCTCCCAGTTTCTTCAGGGAGAAAAATCCAGTCTTGTTTCTGAAAAATCCATCCTGCTTTCTCAGTTACAGATGATGACAGAGAATTTGCAGAAGCTCTTGGAGAAAAATGCCTCGCTGGAGAATTCTCTCTCTGGTGCAACTATTGAGCTCGAAGGTCTGAGGACAAGGTCAAGAAGCTTAGAAGAATTCTGCCAGACTCTAAAAAATGAGAAAGCCAATCTTGAAGATGAAAGAAGCTCCCTGGTCTTACAGCTGAAAAATGTTGAAGAGAGACTGGGAAACCTAGAAAGGAGATTTACAAGATTAGAAGAAAAATACACTGATCTGGAGAAGGAAAATGATTCTACACTTTCTCAAGTAAAGGACCTGTGGGGTTTTCTTAGTGTAGAAAAACAAGAGCATTCATGTTATATGCAGTCAAGTGAATCTCGACTTGCAGATCTGGAAAGCCAGGTCCATCAACTACATGAAGAAAGTAGGTCGAGCAAGAAAGAATTCGAAGAAGAACTGGATAAAGCTGTAAATGCTCAGGTTGAGATCTTCATCTTGCAGAAGTTTATTAAAGATTTAGAAGAGAAGAATTTGTCCCTGTTGATTGAGTGTCAGAAACATGTCGAAGCATCCAAATTCTCAGATAAACTGATATCAGAATTAGAGACTGAAAATCTTGAGCAGCAGGCTGAAGTAGAATTCTTGTTAGATGAAATAGAAAAGTTTAGAATGGGTGTTCGTCAAGTTTTGAGGGCTCTTCAATTTGATCCAGTTAATGAGCATGAAGATGGGAATCTTGCATGTATTTTGGACAATATTGGTGACCTAAAAAGTTTGCTCCTTTTAAAGGAGGATGAGAAACAGCAGTTGGTGGTTGAGAATTTGGTGTTGTTAACTTTACTCGAACAACTGAGATTAGATGGTGTTGAGCTTGAGACAGAGAAAAGCATCATAGAGCAGGAGTTCAAGATAATGGTAGAGCAACATACTCTGCTGGAAAAAAGTAACCACGAACTGCTAGAGATGAACAGGCAATTGAGATTGGAAGTGAGCAAGGGAGAGCAGCAGGATGAGGAATTGAAAGCTCAACTTGAAACCCAGCATTTGAATCTGGCAAGTTTGCAGGGGTCGTACGGGCAATTGAAAGAAGAAAATCTGAAGGTGCTTGGAGAAAACAGGTCTTTGCTTCGGAAAGTTTTGGACCTCAAAGAGGAAATGCATGTACTTGAAGAGGAAAACAGTAGCATTCTCCAGGAAGCTGTAACTGTCAATAACCTCTCATCGGTGTTTGAGAGCTTTGCGGCAGAGAAAGTTGAGGAACTCGAATCCCTTTCTGAAGATATCAGCTTTCTAAACTTGATGAACAGTGATCTCAAGCAGAAGGTTGAAATGTTGGGGGATAAACTGTTATCAAAAGAATCAGAAAATCTGCATCTTAATAAAAGAATTGAAGAGCTGCAGCAGGAACTGCAGGAAGAAAAAGACTTTACAGATCAATTAAACTGTCAAATTGTAATTGAAAAAGATTTTCTTCAAGAGAAAGCAACAGAGCTTTTCCTAGCGGAACAAAATATCACAGCTACCAACAACTTAAATGCAGAATTTCACACCACTATTGAGGAGCTTAAGAGGCAATGTGAAGCATCAGAACTTGCAAGAGAGAACATAGATAAGCGGATTCTTGAACTGTCTCAAGTTTGTACAGATCAGAAAATAGAGATTGAATGCCTTAATGAAGCAAAAGACGATCTGGAGTCAGAAATGGCTGCATTACTCAATGAAATCAAGGAAAGACAGACTAAGGAAGAGAACTTGAGTTTGGAGCTGCAAGAAAGAAGCAACGAGACTGAACTCTGGGAAGCTGAGGCTTCATCTTTCTTCTTTGATCTTCAAATATCTTCTATCCACGAAGTTCTGCTTCAGAACAAGGTTCGTGAGCTGACTGTAGTTTGTGGGAGTCTTGAAGAAGAAAATGGTAAAAAAGATATTGAGATTGAAAAAATGAAAGAAAGGTTTGGCAACCTGGAAAGCGAAATTCAAAGAATGAAGGCTCATTTGTCTGCATATGCTCCGGTCATAACTTCACTGAGAGAGAATATAGAATATCTTGAGCACAATGTGCTTCTTCAGACAAGTCGAGGACAGAAGGTACTGTTCTTTCTTTTTTTAGAAAATGCTAACTATTGGAGCAATTCAGAATATTTACTCCAAGCTAGATATGACTAGTTTTATTTTCCTTTTTATGTGGCTTAACCAGATGAAGAGTTTCTACACTTTAATATTCCCTTTTAAGTTCAACCAAGATAGATTTATCTTCTACTTGTAGAAACTTTATCATCTGACTTGACAGATATCATTTTTAACTTTTCAGATGTCGAATTTTAAACTACAGGCCTATTCCCTTTGTTCATAGCAAATTCATTATAGTGATGTATGCACGCGTGTGTGTGCATTTTAATTAGAATTCAAGCATGCTGGGCCAATCATTTAAGCTGTCTCCTAGTCTTTTTCTGTTCAGCTGTTATATGCAGATGGTGTGCATTCTAATGGGTGGTCATCTTCATTTGTCTTCAGGGAGTAGAAATGACTAGTCAACATCATGAAAAGAGCACTGAAGGACTCATAAATGATGAAAGCGTTGCAGTAACAGATGGAATTTCAGATTTGCTGAAGATGAAGTCTAGAATTAACGCAGTGGGTGAGGCAGTGGTTAAAGAAATGGATAGGCTTGCAGCTGAAAAGGCAATGTTGAAAGAAATGGATAGGCTTAGAATGCAGGAAATGGGGAACACTGAGGAGCCCTTAGTGAAAGGGGCTGAACAGTTAGAGATGAGAGGCCGATCAGCTGCAGAAAAGGATGTCCAGAAGGATGAGATGGAATTTGCAAATAAGCCCCCTGTTGCGGCTAAGCCACAGAACAACAAATCTGAAATTTTTGAAGTGAGGAATGAGATTTTGATGAAAGATATCCCACTTGATCAGGTCTCGGAATGTTCATTATACAGGAGAAGCAAGAGAGAGCATGCTGGGAAAGATGATCGGATGCTTGAATTATGGGAATCTGCTGAGCAAGACTGCCTTGATCCACTTGCTGACAAACAGAAGCCGACAGCCACTATTGAGAATGTTGCTGCGTGTTGTCAGTTCAAAAATGTCAAACGGAAGAGTCAGGATCCCTCTTTGGAATTGCAGATTGAGAAGGAAGTGGGCATTGACAAGCTTGAGGTATCAACAAGCATCACTAGAGAACCCAATCAAGAAGGAAACAGAGGAAAGATCTTAGAGAGGCTTGCTTCTGATGCTCAGAAATTAATTTCTCTTCAAATAACAGTGCAAGATTTGAAAAAGAAAATGGAGTTGAGGAAGAGAGGCAAGAGGGCTAATGATCTTGAATTTGAAAGAGTGAAAAGACAGTTACAAGAAGTTGAGGAGGCTGTTCTGCAGTTGGTTGATACTAATGATCAGCTGACCAAGGATGTTGAAGAGAGTCCCCCATATTTGGAGGGGAACACTTCAGTAGAGATGGAAGAGACAGGCACCATGCACAGAAAAAGAGTGGCAGAACAAGCACGGAAAAGGTCTGAAAAGATCGGAAGGTTACAGTTTGAGGTGCAGAGTATCCATTACATTCTGCTAAAACTGGAGGATGAAAAGAAAAGCAAAAGTAAGCACAGATTTTCTGGAGGTAAAACAGGCATCCTCTTGAGAAACTTCATATACAGCGGTGGCAGGAGAAGCAGCAGAAGGCAGAAGAAGGGTTGCTTTTGTGGGTGTGCAAGACCTTCAACTAATGAAGACTGAGGTAACCACTTTAAGTAAAGCTCGTTGTTATTTCTAGCTACAGTTCTTGAAGTATTCCAGATTTTCGTGTATTTTAAGATATTAAGTTAGACCGAAGCTATTCATGTCAGCTTTGTATATAACCTGAGAATAGGCTGATCTAGAAAGCAGTACTTGTTTCGCCAGCCTTCTTACCATTGTAATTTCAACTGAACGATGCCAATGCAATCTAAGTTCCATATATGAAAGGTCTCAACGTGCAAAATGGCCACCAATATCATCCTAGCGAGTTGGAATTGAGAAGTTTTTAAAAACGGCCACCAATATCATCCTAGCGAGTTGGAATTGAGAAGTTTTTAATTTTTTTTTTTTTCTTTGCTTTGACAGGAAAGCTCCTGTTTCAACTTCCCCTCTTCCCTAAATCCGCAAATGGTTAGTAAGCATGGTCAACAGTCATCTAATTCCCTACAGGTCCAAAACTAAGACATCGAGGTGGTATTTGTGAAGGTTTAGATATGAATACAGGTATTTGGCATTTTGTTGAAGACAAGGAACTCGGGCGTACAATTATTGGTTGAAAATCAGATATACCCTCATTGGGAATATAACCAGCTTGGTGCAGTTGTGAACTCGAGAGCTCCGATGGTGACCCATAAACAGGGGGCGTACAATTATTGGATGAAAATCAGATATACCCCAATTGGGAGTATAACCAGCTTGGTGCAGTTGTGAACTCGAGACCTCCGATGGTGACCCATAAACTGGGGAGAAGGGAATTGTTTATTAGATGTAGAAGTTGGTAGATTCTTATCCAACCCTTGTACCCCTTAGCCATCCCAAGCCAGTTAGCGGTTAAGGTAGCAGATTTCTTTTTCTTTTTTTTTTTGCAACTTAATTTTCAATAAAGAAGATCGCGAGAACTCAAACTATAGGATGTACGAATTCTTCCATAGTTTGATGAAGTACTCTGTTTTTTTTATCGTAAAAGAGTTCAAACTTGACAAGAGCATGATGTTGATGTCTAACCGTGGTCTTGCCTTGTTTACAAGATGGGCATCGCCACATTGCTCACAAATGCAGTACTGAATTTAACACTGCACCAAGATGTTCCCAGTCTTCATTTCATCTGCGCGGTCTTTGTTTAATGGTATCCTTGCTATCTTCAACTTACCAGCCAGGTTAGTTGACGAGTCATTTGGCCTTGACTCAAAGCTGCCCACCCAAAGATAAACAAAGCAGACCTGGAAAGCTTCCGTTGTGTATCCCAACTATAAGGTGAGAAAAATTATCAAAGGCTTCAAACCTCCCATGCATAGACCGGTTTTTATGTGCTTTTGATTTTTGCTTCTCTTTGTAATTGGACTAGGTTTGTCATGTGCTTCCTGTATTGGACCTCTTTTTTACATTTTGTAACTGTGCTTCGTGCCGTCGTCTACTTGCTTCGTATTTTCTTCGCTCAGCTTTCCAGGTCTTGGGAGCCTCCACCCAAAAAAAAAACCCTCGAAGTTAAAACAGGGGGTGCAGTATTTGATTCATTAAAGGATAGAAGAACTTCTAGCCTTGGTAAAACGCTAGTAATGGTCTTACTCGAAGAAGAAAATGACCATCTCCGTGTGCATATGTTCATCTCTCCTGTCTATACACATGTCAACCTGACCTGACTGGATCAACCAGCTAGACTAGGTGATTCCAGCCCAAAAGAAATTTGAGGACCAGAACCACCAGGCTTAAATGGCTAATGCTGCAGAAGTGGATTCTATTTAAGTTATGAATTTTGATTCCCTGACGCATCGAGGCTTGGGAATAATCTCCTTGGAAGATTGCAGTCTTTTTTTTTCCAAAATTATATTCTTCTTTTTTTTAATTTTTTTTTGTTTTTTCAAAAGTATTTTTGTTGATTTTATTTTTTTAATATAAAGCTGATTGAAAAGTTTGATTTATAGTTTATAGTTTTAAAAAAAATACTGTAAATTACAATAGTGTTTTCCTACATAGTTTTTTTATTTTTTTATGATTCTTTTTTGTTTTTTTTTCAGAATTTTCTTTGTTGATTTTATTTTTTTATATTGAACTAATTAAGAATTTAATTTCATAGTTTTTTTTTAAAAAATTATTAATTACTACAGTGTCCCCCATATAGTTTTTTTATTATGATGCCTACATAGTTTTTTTATTTTTTTATGATTCTTTTTTGTTTTTTTTTCAGAATTTTCTTTGTTGATTTTATTTTTTTATATTGAACTAATTAAGAATTTAATTTCATAGTTTTTTTTAAAAAATTATTAATTACTACAGTGTCCCCCATATAGTTTTTTTATTATGATGTTTTTAAAATTATTTTTATTGATTTTATTATTTTTAATATTAAACTAATTAAAAATTATAACCGTAAATTTTCTCATGAAATACTATAAATTACTACAATATTTTCCAGCATAAGTTTTTTTCCTTTCCTTTGATTTTTTTCAAAAATTTTTTATTAATTTTATTTTTTTAATATTAAACTAATAAAAAATTTAACTTTATAGTTTTTTTCTTGAAAACATTATATATTATAATAATTTTTCTCTATATAATTTTATTTTTATTTTTTTATAAACTCATAATAACATATATTTTTTTTATAAACTCATAATAACATATATTTTTTTTATAAACTCATAATAACATATATTTTTTTTATAAACTCATAATAACATATATTTTTTTTATAAACTCATAATAACATATAAGCATATCCCAAGCCAACGATTTCACAGGTGTAGCATCTAGTTATATATATATATATATTACTCGTGGTGTTTGATAGCTTAATTAAGTGTTAAAAATCAGCCTTGTTGGAGGAAGATGAACAAAAGAAAAGGTAGAAGTACAATATTATACAAGAGGAGGTGGATTTTATGACTACTAGATTGCATCTTATTATACAAGCAGAGCGGAAAAAACTCGAATTACATACAACTAAACTAACATGCCTCTCAACGCTACAAAGGTTTAAAAGAATTTCATCCGAGAATTTATGGGAAACATTTCCTTTCAATGATGGGGAGTGAGAGAAGGGAATGAGGGTATGGATTGTAGTATCAACTTCCGACCACTCCTCCGACCAGGGGATGATCCTAAGTTACTTTGCGGAGGAGAGACCCTCTTGCTGTTGGGAGAAGTCTTAATGCCAGAGCTTGGAGAGTGGTTTTCTCGAAGGATCTCAGGAATTTCATCTTCTGGAACATTTTGGAATTGCTTCTCAAACTTCCATTGAGGTCGAAAAATATTTGGTTTTCCATATCTTTGGCCAGTATACAATCCAGAAGATGATCCAACGCCAAGAAAACATCTTGGCGGTTTGCCCTTCGATGAATATGGCAGCTGAACCAGTGGTCTGGCATCAAATTTCAAAAACATCACTAAAGATCTAATAAAAAAACTCAACCTTTATGGCGGTAAATAGTTCAGAGAGTAAACCTGGAAAACCGTAATGGTGTTGTGGGAAGAGCAGAATTTGGATGCTGCTCATCATTATTCTGGATTTCAGCTTTCTGCAATGTTTTATCAACCCCATTCTTTTCACTTGCATCTGTTTCATCTTCGTGTTCATCTTCCATGTCCACTGAAGCAGATCCTAGATTTGGAAAGTCATTGAAGGCACAAAACTATTTAGAATTAATAATACAAAAATAAGAAGTTAGTTTATTTATTTATTGGATCATTTAAAGCCACTACATGATTAGAGGAAGGTTGCCTGTGTACTAAGTAGCTAATCTGTATGAAAGCAAACTTTTGGGTAAAAATTACCATCCTTTCTTCCAAATGCATTCTTGCATCCTTCACATCTACAGTTAAGGGAGCATCCAACACCACCCTTCACAAGAGAACCATGATTTGATGAATCAGTTTATATTAAACATCAAAAGCACACAGAATATGCCAAGGAAACTACCTGATAGCATTCACAGTATTTCTTTAGGCAACTTGATTTCTTGCAGTTGCATCCCCTTTTATGCCGGGCTGAAGCAGGTGTTTTGCTGGACTCATCCTAGATCAAAGAAGCATTCAAGTTAAAATAAAAGTTTGACTATTTTGCCTAAGCAAAAGGTAAGATCAGATTTGAGCTAACCCCAATTTCAGGTGCAGGTTCAGAGCTCCTAATCACTTTGGGAGCGAATGCAAGTGGGTTGCGAGACTCTATCTGTTTGCGAGTTGCAAGAACAGTATCTTCATGAATAGGCTTGTTGAAGCAATCTTGACATGCACATGGCTCTATGCAGTAGACACCAGCAGCAAAACATTCACAGTACCTGCATGGTGTGCATATTACATGATATATGATCATTATGACACCAGATAAAGGGTGTGTAGTCAAATAAACGAGGGAGGAAAGGGAAGGCAAGAAAAAACTTAAGCATTCACATCAAGCATACTAAACAAGAGGAGGATATAATCAAATTGAAAACTAAGATGATCTATTAGATCCAAGTTTGAAGCCTGGTTCATGTAAGGACCCTGTTCATGGTAAGGCCCCTTGAGGACAGGGATCTTCATTGATGAAGATCGTTTTCCCTAAATAATTTGCATATACTTCCATAGATAAAAGAAGTCATATGAGCTATAACAGCAGTCAAATTGTGAAATCTTGTCCTACACGGGATAAAAAATAGCTTGTGATGACACCAAAGCACAGAGATCTATTTTTGAATAGAGCATCCGATTATATTTATTTGGGTCACTAGCTGGAAACAGCATCCCTGATTGAATTAAATTTCAGAAGATAACTACTTACAGTTTCAAACACTTTGATTTCTTACAGTTGCAACGCTTGCAGGCCTCGGCTTCTCCTTCCAACCTATGCCTGGAAATAAAATTTAATATCCATGACATTAAAACGTGAGAGATGCATAAACATGCTAATAATTGTAAGAATTATTAGGTAATAACTGTACAGGAAACACTTTGTCAAATAACATGCCTCTTCTTTTTTGGGCTAGTCTGGCTGAAATCTTCCACAAACGGAACAACATTGTCACTGGGATCCATGTCTCTTTCCGTAGATGCTAAGGCCAATGATTCATCAAGCTCTTGACCACTTGTTGGGGAGTGAAAGGAGGCAGCAGAACCAGGCAAAGTAATGGAGGAAGAGAAAGTTTCATGCTTGATTTTTTTGCTATCCCTGGAATTTATTGCCAAAGCATTTAGGTGCAGACCAATTCCAGGTAAAATGCATCTTGAAGAATCACTGCTGGGCTTAAAAGGCACCAATTGTGTATTTTTGTAGGTAATTTTCTCATCCGACTGCACCACAACTGAACTAGAGCTTGAACCGTCTTCTATGTTCTTCCTACGGGCTCCTACCATTTCAAAGTCAAGACAGCGCCTTCGCATGCCACGATGCAAATTAGAAACAGCCTACAGAATCATAAAATAATTGGACTGTTGTCAGAAAAGTCATTGAGTTCCTCAAAAGTTATGAATTGGAGAACAAGAGGAAAACAATTTTGGTCAAGTAAAATACAAATATTCAAAATTACAAAGGGGTCAATCTTAAAGAGCATGAAAACTTTGAACAGAGTGGTTATATTTAGGAATTGAAAATGCAACGGAATTGATGCTGCAAATTAAGGAAATCATGCCACCTTACAAAATACAAATCAAATCTTGGTACAAGTTTATCCATTGCAGATTGATTAATGGCACAAAATTTTGGTTTACCAACTCTATATCCTGCATAGTTATATTTTATGTTCCACAAAATTTTGATTAGTGGAACATGTAAACATAAAATTGAATATGGGTTGGGAAGGCATTTTTTAGTACAAGTTTAAAGGTAGAAAACAGGAGATGCTTTTTAGGTTCCACTGTAGTGTTGTGGTTGGAATAGTAGCTGACAGGCTGCCCGTGCTTGGTGCAGCATGACCCATTTGTTTTACACCTGCCTAGCTTCCCTGGGAGTTGCAAGCACAAAAGGTTGCAGTGCTCACTTTCAAGATGTTTACAAGAGTTTGATTCTTTTCCTGCTGGGTATATCAACACG